GAACTATCATTAATGTTTTTACCTCTTGGCCAGCTCTGGAACTTTTCTTATTCCCCTTTTTCTGGTAGCAGGCTAGTCATAATCCATTCCTTTCCCCTCCACCATCAGTAATTGGTCCAGGATATGGGCATGTGACATCAGCATGATTCTAACTATATAGACAATCTCAAGATGATGAACTCTTTCCACTGAAATTGTTAAATGGGACCATTGCATCCTGGAGCTCCAGTGGCCATGTCTCCTGGCCATGCAGGGGAAGGTTGTTTTCAGAAGGGGAAAATGAGCCAATACACATGTATTGGTCTGCTTAGTCTGCTATAAGAAAAATACCCCAAATTAGATGTCTGAAATAACAGAAATGTATGTCCCATGTTCTAGAGGCTGGTAAGTCCAAGATCAAGGTGCCAGCAAGTGAGGTTTCATTCTGAGGCCTCTTCTCTTAGCTTGTAGGTATCTGCTTTCTCTCTGTGTGCTCATGTGATCTCTTTGTGACAAAACAAGCTCTCTGGCATCCCTTCTTATAAGGATACTAACCCAGCTGGATCAGGGCCCCACCCTTATGACATCATTTAATCTTAATTACTTCCTTAGAGGCCTTATCTACAAATACAGCCACACTGGGGGTCAGGGCTTCAATATATGAATTTGGAGGGGTAGGGGACACAAGCATTCAGTCTATAACACATAAAATCAGATCCTAGCAGAGATGAGACACAGTTGTACAACCAGGCTTCATGTCCATGGTTCCAGGCCCCATGGCCAAATTTCTCCCAGCTAATCTTTTGTGTCCGTGTGCTACCCTGGTGTTTTTCCCAGCCATATGAGCAGAACCATTCATTTCATACCCAAGCTATTTTGGGTTTGGTTTCAGTTGGTGGCAACTTAAAAATTCCTGGTTAATACATTGGATATACTGACAATAAGAATAGAACCTCCAAATAAGGAATACGAGCATGCTGGCTTCATTAAATAAACACGAACTTGCACCAGAAAGAGTGTGCCTGGCCAGGAAAATCATTACCCAAGACCCATCCTCATACTTGGTAACAATCCCTATTGAAGTTAGAACTCTTGGCACCACTATCCCTATCAGAGATGGAAAAACTAAACTTCTCTAGCTTCTTCTTCTTCCAAAGCAACAGTTGAAGGAGTTTGGGTTTAGGAGCAGAAACACCCAAGTTCAAATCCTGGACATACTTCTTACTGTGTGATATTGGTAGGTTACTCAACATCTCTGAATCTCACCTTCCTCACTTAAACAATGCAAATAATAGTACCTACCTCACCAGTATGGTGTAAGAAGAAATGAGAGAATGTATATAAAGAGCCCACCCCTGAGGCCAGCACATAGGAATCACTCAAGACAGGCTGGTTGCTCCTTATGCAGACACACAGATTCCACCAAATCTGATGTCCATCCCTCATGACCGGACAGGAGCTGCAGCAGTTCTACTTGCCTCGCTTGCACTTCAAAATATCCCGTGGGAAATTCCATGCCTCCAAACATTCATAGGGTTCATGAGAGGAGGCCAGGCAGGCAGGCCTCAGAACAATAGCCTTTTCATTCCCCTGCTGGAGAATGCTGGGGCTCCACCCAGAACCTTTCACCCCAGTCTCTGTAAGCCAAGTGTAAATTCAATTACTGTGAAATTAACTAAGCATTAAACAAAAAATCCCAACCTGGAAGTCGTCACTGCTAATTAACTGGTTCCCACTCACTGCTGCTGCCTTTCAGCGGTCAGCTGACAAGGAGAGCTGTCAAGAACTTGCCCGTGGGGTGGGCTTGAGCTGCCGTGACTTGATTTGAACTGACAAGGCACAGCAAGCTAATATCAGAGCCCTCTTTAGGCAACCCACGTGACACTGGAGGGGAACTCACAGAATGAGTAAGGCAGTGGATATACAGACTGGTCTAGACACAGAAAAGGGACGGGTTGGGACAAGGAGGGTGTGTTGAAAAGAAGAGTGATGGCCCTGAAAGCGGGGTGCAGAAGTGATTAGTCAGGCTGTGAATGGGTTGCTATTCAGCACTATGACAGCATCATCTTGATAAATTCATGATTTTATCTAATAGCAGGAACTCAGTAAATATTGGTTGGATGGATGGATAAATTTCATAAAATAGGAGGGAATATCCTTCCATTTCCGTCTCTCATTTTTATTCAAGTACTTCTGAATTTTATCTCCTCACTATCAAGAAACCAAATTGCTTAAAACCTATAGAGAAAAGTATTTCTTTCCAAACCCTAAACATATCAACCACAGGTTCCCTCCTTTTCATCCCATACAAAGTGGAAGGGCCATATATACCGACTTATTTAAATAGATGTACAGGTCTCACTCTAGTTGTCAGGTATAACAGGGCAGTGGACACATCTGCTTATTTTACTAAGTCCAGTGGCCACTGCGCTTGTAACAGAGGACACAAGCAAACAAGAAGAGGCCCAGTCCAGGCAGCATTCTGTGGAGGGATTTTGCTCATTCAGCTACAAGGCAATTCCACTTTTTATCTGGGCCCATACTGTCCAGAAAACTATCTTTAACTACACCAATGGGATTCTTTTAATTTGAGCTTCCTAAAGACAGATGAAAAACTTTGCTACGAAAAATTAAACTAAAACTAAAGAAAGAACTCTAAAGGGTTTGTCAAAGAGTTAAACTACAGAGACAACATACAACTTATACAAAGAAAACTACAATGAGCATCATCTGTTAAATGGCAAATCCTCAATCCAACCGTTGCCACAAAAGCCCTCTTTTCAGCACTATGCTATGGTAATCAAAACGATTCTGGAATTCTCCCAGACTCTCAAGGTCCTGAGAGAACAAATTCCATACTGTTAATACAAAATCTTGCCTGCACCTCTACCCCCACTTGCTCAAAAGAACAAACAAGCAAATGATTACCACCCAATAGTTGTACCCTGTGTTGTTCGATGGTACATCATCCCTAGGGCTGTGGGGCTGCAACTGTTCAAGTCTTTCGTGTTCTCTTCCGTGGGAAGAACGCAGGTTGAATAAAACCTTTCTGGCCAGGGTGGTGATGGTGCAAAGCCACCATCATTAACTGGGACCCAAAAGTGGTTGTGCTCACCTTGTTATTTCCTTCTTCCTGCTTTCTTTCCCTTCTAAGCCAAAGGTCAAACGACTTATTAATTGCTAATGACTAAAAGTATTATGCTAACAGGTGGTAACAATGACATTTCTATAATTAGTTTGCAAGTCTGAAGTGATATTCAGTGATATCCATGGAGTCTACAGAAGTACATCAAGGGTTGTATTTGGAGGCTGAAGTCAGCCTAGTTTTCTAAAATTAGCTGAAGCAGCAACCAGGAAATATCTGTGGTAATAGGAGTTCCAAGTGCACGAACTTCTTATTGACTTTGAATGTGAGGGATCCAGGCCTCCCCTACTCAGAGTTGCCCTGCTGACCAGCTCTCCAGTATTTAACAAATCCAGGCCAGTCTCTGAATGGATGTCCTCAGGGTAAGCATCCTCTGAGAGGCAGGAGGATATGAATGGCTCCACTACTTCTGGAGCCTCTGCCTTCCTAAAGTTGGGCAGTAGTTCCAGTCAGCAGGCGGCCCGTTCTGTAACATGCCATGGATCTTCTCAAATCAGGGCCTTTCTGTCTCAGAAGTTGACTTGTCGCCCCAAACGTGTTTCTTCTGACCCACAATGATTTTGAATCGAGTGTCATTGTGTAAATACCAGGGGATTTCACCTGCATTTCCAACATTCAACTACATACCCAGCATCTTTTGAAAACAGAGATTTGTTAACATTAGCCCTATAGTCTTCCCTGGTCACAGCGGGCCCCTCCTGAGGGGGGACGTATGGACTCTCCACATCACCACAGTCTCTGCCTCTTATTATTTTCTCATCCTGGACTGGCTTCATCCATTTGTATTACCTGCCAGGCTCCAGTCGGCACTCGACTTTGTGGCCCTGGGCTGAGGAATTTCTCTGCATAAAATCTCTGAGAGCTACGATCAAAATATAGGTTCCTAAGGATCAAAAATATAAATTGCAAGGCTTCTCTGCTGAGTCTCATTACCACCTCCTTGTCATTGGTGGAGCCATCTTTCCTACCCGATAATATTCACACCTAGCTCAAGGGTATCCTAGCTCAGGCTGCTGTAGCAGAATATCATAGACCAGGAGGCTTAAACCACAAACATTTGTTTCTCACAGTCCTGGAGGCTGGGAAGTCCGAGATCGGGGCGCCAGCGTGGCCGCGTTCTGATGAGGGCTCTCTCCCCCAGCTTGCAGAAGCCAGCGGGAAGTGAGGTGCCAGAAATGTACAGCAACTTGGATGGAACCCCGGGTAACAAAGAAAGATGCCCGGTGAGAAGACGCACCCTGCCAGAAAAGTTCCGGCCTTATGCTGCGAAAGAGGAAGTGAGAGAAAGCAGAAGCGGACGCGACCCCAGGAAGCTGAGATGATGCGCGAGGCTGCCGCCCACAGCAGCAGCATCACAGTAGCCGCTGCTGCCGCCGCTGTTTCCGGTTACCGCCAAGAGAGGGTTACCGGACCCTCATTCCTCTGAAGAGGATGCGCCATCTTCCCAAACTGTTTTCAGCCAAACAGTCTCAAAGAAAACTGTCCAGAGAACACAAGAGGTTCCAGTGATGAGAGAAAACCTTATCATCAGCCTATGTGGACCCCCTCCAAGAAGCTCAGATCCCATTGAGCGTACAAAACAAATGGAAATGCTAACATGGGTGGATTAGAAACCACTACTGTCCAACAGAAGGTCAATTTCTCTGAAGAAGGAGAAACTGAAAAGGATGATCAAGAAAGCTCTGACACTGAGGTCACCACTGCTTGGTCAGAGCTGGGGATTCTGACGAGTCTGGGGACCAAATCACCAGATCACCCGGTCACTGTGACGGCCATCACAAAGTCTAGCCAGACTTCACAGCTCATGATAAGCAACCTTTAGCGCTGAGCTCCAGATATCCCAAAACCTTAGGAATGGGTCAAACAAACTGCAAGAATGAGGACTAGGATACAAAATGACAACACTCAGAAATCAGAGCCTAGGAACCAGTGTCCACCAACCTCCAGCCAACAAGTGACTGGACAACCCCAAAATGTACCTTTTATCAAGATGAAGTGGTGGTGGCCACTTTTTCTACCTGCTCTTGCCTTTGGGAGTTTTTGGTTCTTTCATACTCCTGAGGTAGAAACCACTACTGTTCTCAAGTTCCAGAACCAGATGAAACAACTTATGAATAAGTACCAAAGTCAAGATGAGAAGCTGTAGAAAAGGAGCCTAATATTACTGTAAAAGAATCTTAATAGCTCCCATCCTCAGCCTCAGCCTGCTATCTTATTGCTCACTGCTGCTGGAGATACTGAAGAACTTAAGTGTCTGGGTGAATAAACTGCTGATACCTCTTCTTCCTTCTGTAGTGTCCATACCGTCTGGATTGATGGAGCAGGCAAAGCTGCCCCAGACAGATACTGTCAAACTAGAGGTAGACCAAGAACTGAGTCATGGCTTCAGAAATGGCCAGAATGGAGCTGTGGCACACCCCTTTGAGTCACTGCCCACAGGCTCTACTTTGATCTTCTTTCTATGAATACTGTGACCATGAAAACTCAGTCTTCAGAGATGTAGCCTTCCATTATCCTAAGTAAAGCATCTCAGGAACAAAAAACAAATACTGCCTGTTCTCACTTATAAGTGGGAGCAAGCTATGGGTATGCATGGTCATATAGAGCGGTATGGTGGATATTAGAGATTCAGAGGAGAGGAAGATGGGAAGGGGATGAGGAATGAAAAATTACTTGTTGGGTACAATGTATACTATTCAAGTGACAGGTACACTTAAAGCCCAGATTTTACCACTATACAATTCATCCATGTAACCAAAAACCATTTGTATGCCCTAAATATATTGAAATAAAATGATTTTTTTAAAAAAGACATAGCCTTAGTCCTGTCTCATTGGAGGAAGAGACATTTGGAACCAGTCTAGGCCTAAAGGAAATTGAAGAAAAAGTAAGAGATTTCCTCAGTCAGGTTCACCAGTTATAACACACCCAACTCCTACAATCATATGGACTCGGACAAACTGAATGGGCTCTGGAGCTGTATTTCTCACTTAGTCCTGCCTGTGCAACCTGAAAATGCTCCAAAAAAGGGCATCTGCTTATAAGAGGTGAGAGAAGAGAAAATCACGTCTCAAGCTCTGAGAATTTTTTAGACTTTCTAACCAGAGACAGGATTCAGAGCTTTTTGAAAGAACTGGTTTCTTTTTAAAGAAAGTTAAGTTCTTACATAAACATGGAACATCTAAATCGTTTATTCAACCTAATTATCTGTTATATGAGAGAATCATTTCCGTTTCCATTGAGAGCTGTGTTAAAAGTATCTTAGGAGTGTAAATTATATGCAGTTTCATAGAGAATCTAAAAAAAAAAAACTTCTTATGGCCTCATGTGATAGAAAAAGAGTGAGAGAGCACTCTGCAATCCCTTTGATAAGGGCACTAATCCCATTCATGAGGACTTCATCCTCATGACCTAATTACTTCCCGAAGTAAAATTAAATGACATGTATGTATTAATATTTAAACTAGCCACTCAAATTTCTACTATATAATACAAATAGATGCTGAATAAATATTAGTTCCCCTCTTTTTCCCAGGAAAGAGGGCTGGGTCTTTAATACTCTAGGGGTTTTTTTCAGCTTTGCCTCTTCACCCACCAAGGAGAGTGATTCTACATGAGTTAATTTCTAAAAACATTGATCAATTCCACTCCACAACATTTTATCTCCATTTGTTCTCATTCCTTGGCCCTGAGCTTTTCTCCCTCACCTACTATGTTTCTTTTTCTTTTTTCTCTACTGCTTTCAGCATCAGACATTCTCTCTGTCCCCCTCTGTTGATGTGGAGTCCAGGGGTTGCAAACTCAAACAGCTTCAGAGTTTAAATAGGCCATGTAAGTATATGAAATCCCTGAGCTGAAGACAGCAGTAAGCAGTCAGGCCTATAGTCACCTGGAGCAGGCCACAGCCTAAAGTCATTCACATATGAGTTTTTGAAAGAATGGAAAGAATGGGAAGGGAGGAAGGAAGGAAGTTATGCTGTTCTGAACAGTCTAGTCTGTTTCTGGACTAGACCAGTCGGCCACCAGTTAGCAAAGAGTATTTTAGCCATTCCAAGGTAAAACTCTAGGTTTCAATTCAGAGTCTAGATCAGTTGTTTTCCAAGCTTTTTTATTTGTGCATTTTAATTAGTAAATTATATTTAGCACAAGCTCCATTATATGTACCTGTATTAATTGATAAATCAAATTCATTTACCACTGTATTAATGCATTCTGAACATTCTAAAACACATATGAGGACACCAAATGGCACAGACAATTGGATCCCCCCTTCAAGACTTAAAGACTTGTCTTCCCAGCTGCTGGAGAGAGCCTCCTTGCCCAAGATCACACCCCACTGCAGGGCAGCCTGCATCCGACTGGTCACTTACAGCAGTATAAAGAGCCAGCACCGTCTTAGGAACTCAGGAGAACTCTGAAAAACTTTCCCTACTTCAGAGCTCCCTGTGGGTCAATGGAGGTGTTTATTGTAACTATACCACAGCCAGTATCTTCCTCTCCTCCTTCCCATCCCTCCTTCCTCTATAGGCATTGATCCTGAAAGTGTTCCCTAATAAATTCCCTGTTTATTAAGCTCTATCTCAAAGTCTACTTCATGGAATGAGATGGAATAATTAGAAGTTCTGATATTAATATTTCCTTCTCCCCCCATCCCAGGGAGTTGTCTTACAAACCCCTTGGGTTTCTCTCATCCCACTTTGGAGAACAATGGTCTAAGCCAGTGCTGCCCAATAGAATGTTCCAGAATGATAAAAGTATCCAAAATGGCAGCCACTAGCCACACATGGCTATTGAGCACTCGAATGTGATTAGTATAACTGGGTTAGTGAACTTAAGTTATTTTATTTTAATT